CATTCTCCCTCACGTTCTTTTTTATTCCAAGCTAGCGACGCTTAACCCGTTTCGACTGCAACGGCTGGCGTCGATTGGGATTCCATGAGCTCCGCCTTTCACAGCTGTCTCTACGTTTACATGTGCTTTCACCACCGACTTTAAAATTGTATCTTCCTTGACCTCGACCACCTCACGTAGGTGTGCCAACCAAAAGAACAGGTTGGATGACATTAATCTCATGAATCGGCCAAAATTGGCAAAATGTGACATCCTTTAATTGTGTAAGTAAATTTCCACTTTCTTTTATTAACCTTACAAGTGATTTTTAATGTTTGCACTGTACTGTACTCGTGTCGACTTTCCTGCTCATTCACTTTACTTTTAGCAGTCAACATAACATTTAAAATATTTGCATCCACTCTCGTTAGGCAAACGTCCAAAGCTACACTGAACTAGAAATCCTCTATTTTCTTTCAAATAAATGCAATCAATCAAGTTGATACCGTGATAGAACCGATCAGCAGGTGGCAAACGGCGTTTACTGGTAGTTAATGTACCTTTCTATTTTCTTATTTTTCAGTTCAACAAAAGAGGAATCCGGTTGCCCCTCCTCGACAGCGTAGAGCATAGTGATCAGCAAAGTGGCATCACTTTCCAACAATCATCACTAACCAATCTTCCTACCCATTTTGTTGGAAACATTGCGTTTGCAATAAATTATACAGTCACTTTGTGTCCCTCTTTACCCGAAGACGGAAATCTACTGTTTACAACCCGAAAGTTCATTCTTATGTTCCGTTGACATGCCTACCGAACCGACTGCTTTTGGCACAAATGAACTATTCACCGAATCATATATTGGCTTATTTTCAGGTAGCACCCTGCAGCTACACTTTTAAGTCGTCATTGGCACCTCCGTAATGCGTGCTTGGGTTCCACAAAATAAATCATTTTATGGGCACTTTTCACTATTCTTGAATTTACTATTGCTTAAGAATTTGAACTTTACATTGCGTTTTTGCCGCCTTTAGATTATATTGAATTGTACAGTTAAACATACACTTATCGTGATAGAGAACCAGAAAAGGAAGCTGTGTAACCCATTCACTCAGAGACAATACCTGCACTAATAATCCAGCCTACTTAACTCTTGCATTTCTCTTTTTGGAATCAGCTAATTTCCGGCTAGTCTTCGAGCAACTAGTCTAGGGCGCAAAGTTTGATTAGTAGTTGGACTGGTTAGCTAAATATTCAATTGACACAAGGTTATAGCATAGATTAGTCCACCAAACCCTATTGATGGGTAGATTCGAGAAACCCAAATTTAGCTTCAGTTCCCAATTGCTTCAATTCTTTTCGTTCTACTGATATCCCTAGTGAATTTGCTTGCTACATTGCCTGGTTTGGAAAACACTTTTTATTGACATAATTAGCTACCCATTTAAGAGTTGACAAGGCTATGCACAGATCGGCTGGAAGATAGATATGTGGTTTAAGGTAAAAGTTCGCACCAATACTGAGATATGTGGCCACTGAGTGTAACTAATCAGTGTGAGTGAGCACAGTCAATACGGCCTCGGAAAAACTAACGGTTCCACGCTATTTTGGCTGTATTTGTGGTGTCGTGGTTAGACTGATTTTGGAGCTGGTGTATAATTTGACGCCTGGAATTCTATGCAACCCGGTAGGAAAGTAAGAAAACGAGGTGTTTCCTAATTTTTACTTTCATTCCTCTTGGTGACGAACATTTGTCTTAAAGAGTTCCAATTATTGGTCGGAAGGAGATAGAGTGGGCAGCTGGGCAACGAATATGTGAAAAAAGGCGAAAGACATGGAGCTAAATGTTTTATTGGCCTTCCAAACAAAAAAGTTGATGAAAGCGTAAAAGAACTTTGCACCTATCATTCTTTTCGATGGAAAAAGATGGAGTAAATGACTAACAATTATTTTACCAAGCAAATTAATCCAGAAAGACATACTGTTTTTGTTTATAGCATAAATTTCCTAAAACTAGCTGCCTTCCCAAATTTAGCCTCTTTTACTAGGTGTGCGGATTTTATGCACTAGTTAGTTGTTTCGCCTATCATGGCTGTTCTTCAGATGACCGATTTAACACTGCATTCGGATGCTAGGAGCGCGCTAATCCATTAGCATACCTGCTACTTCCATTGTCAATAGCTATTCTCCCATTTCTGGCTAGTCCGGACTATTGAGACTAATGGATTTTAGGCTGGCAAATGGATGGACGAAAGGAAGGCAGAAAGGTGGGTAGGCAGTACCTTAAGGTGTGTCAATTTATCAATCCACTTAAAGCCAACTAGTTAATTATATGCCATTCAAATAAATGTAAGTAGTCGGGAGTGCAAAGATGACCTTGTCGATCCATGTTTTG